TGCACAACAATGTACTTTAACTGTATTGGTTATAACCTTTAAATGAATAAATGAAATGAAAATGAAAAATAAAAATGTTTAGTAGATAATAATCTACGTCTTGTAGTCTTGTATGTGAGTTGTTGAACCGTACGAGACTTGATATTCGAGAAGGGCTGTCTTGTCTTCTTGTCTAATCAGCTGTTTTCACCCCTCAAACACACCCTTCCCTATCATTTTCCACTAACATAACACTAACCACCAATAAATAGTGGCATAGGTTTTAAAAACAATGTTTACACATTAACTCTAAATGGTTTTCTTACTTAGCTAAAGTGTTTCTGATTAACATGCTGAATTCAAAATAACATATAGTAGCTATGGATTTTTGTGAAGCTACGATGTCTTACAAAATTGTTTTGTTAATTTATGAATTACTATGAGCAGTTTTTTATTATTGCTAAATTAAGGCACTTCAACTTATTCCATCATTCTAGGACACTTTGTTTCTTATAGTTTTTTTTTCTTTTATTAGTTTAGAGATGACTTTTTCGGATGAATATACATCCATAGTATACTAGCCGGTACATCCTACTAATATTATAAATGTGAAAGTATGGATATTTGTGTGTAACTCTGAAGTTCCATAAGCATTTTATAGTTATACGCCAACCCCGTACGAAGGACGGGTACTCTGCTGGTAAGAAATAATTACAAGAGTGTGTACAGCATGGGTTTTCTTACAAACAAAGTGATCTGCACTATGATGTATTCTGTCTACGATGTCTTTAAAAAATTCTGAAAACGGTGAGGACTTAAATTCGAACCCTGTGGTACACTAGATGAAACTACAAATTCAGTAAAATAACACCCTTGAAATACTATATATTCTGTAAAATAAATAAGGGGATAGGAATTACAATGCTGAGAATTATAAAGTCATAATAATTCAGTTTGGACTTTGGACAAAAGTATCAAACTACTGACTGTAGAAAATTCGTTTTCCAAATCTTTGTTCTCAGCTTGAAACATTTGCAAGGTTGGTGTTCATAAAATGCTACGGGAGGAAAACCATGCTGATAGTTTAGTTGTATGGAGATTTTACAGTTACGATTCATGTTTGCAAGCGTTGACTAAATAAGTCTTTGAATTCTTTATGCGATTGCATTGCTGAGTTTTAGACTCTTAGTAGAGAGCTATACTTTACTAACACTACTAGGGGTCTTACATTTCGCAGTCCAAGTGAAGTAGCGTTGACCTAGATCTGGTGTTGTGCTGATTTAATATGTTTATCAACAAACGATGTTTCAGTTTTTGTTTTAAAATATTTAAACTTGACATTTTTCCAAAAATATTTATGATTGCTTAAAGTGGTTGGTATACCATAAAGCGCAACTTAGTTTAAACAGATAGTTTAAAAAACAGTCACATTCAAAAGTAGATGAACTACTGTTTGAACACAAGTTAAACACGAAATTAATGTATTCGCAAGAGTACATATTTATGATTTGTTGCGGTCAGTGTCGACTGTTCAAATCATTCTACCAACTGTTTAAAATACACTCTAAAACTATCACTCATAACTAATTATGAATAATAACTGGTCAGGAATTCCTTAACGGAGCGTCAATCAATATTTTGCAAAGCAGTTTTGTAATTAAATGTGAAAACGGTCGTGGACTCCACGTGACTCTGAAACACGTGTTTCAGTAAGTTGTAATCAGCTGATTATAAAAATATCCGCACCAGAACCAGTAATGATTTCTTGGGTGGACTTTTATGTCACATACAAAACATCCCACGGTTGCAGTTATTTGTGAAAGGTTACCGAGCGTTTTGTTCAAATTGCTGAAAGTAACTTTACTGTGTTTACTTGGGTGTTTTCTGTTTATTGAAATTGTTTTATTATAATAGATTTTTTTATTCGGTTACATTGTTAATTTACTAGCTTAGAATGCGAGATGTGTTTTGTAAATTACTTATATTTAATTTACCTTTAACCTAATGTGGAAATTTCAAAATATACTTTACTTGTAACTCTGTAAAGAAGTTTGCATAGGTTGGCAAAAACGTAAAATTTAATAAAGATTAATGTACTAAAGGTATAAAAGTTAGCCTATCCGTCCCAATAACTAATATAAATTAGGGTTGTTATTTATAAGGCTAATCAAGATATTATTAATAAGTTACCCCCGCCGCAGGAAAACTGAAGACCAGACAAATTTCCATCCTCATTGGATTTTCACGTTAATATTTCCTCTGATATGTCATAAGTATTCCCTATTTAGAGGTTTAATGAGTACTTAGGTTTAATGAAACAGTAAAAGAAAGGTAATCAAATGTTTGTTTAGTGAATTGTTGTATAGCTTAGTAATAAATTAATAAATTCGCTAAGTTTGATCAAAATATATCTAAAATCTAAATATATATAAAATCTAAATATATATATTGTTGTAACAAGCAAACAAAAGGAGTTTACTTCTTTTAAATAAGAATGAAATAAAAATTTCCAAATTATATTGGTATCATTTTACAGGTCTTGACGAAACATACAAATTGACATAAAGAAAACCAAAATCGGCCCACTAATAACAAAATGGCGCCCCAAAACGTTTCAAATCCAAATAACCATGAGGGTGACTGAAAATTAACTTGCACCTCCTTTAACTTTTTAACTATTAGAGATATTTGAAATCGGTTTGCGGCAACTTGTTTGGATATGAAGGGCTTCAATAATTATGGTCAGTTTTGAACATATTGCCCTTAGGGGTAGCAGGGATAGGGGGTAGCTCAAAAATTTTCAAATAGCAAGTATAGTCGAGTTTGGTATCATTTTACAGGTCTTGACGGAACATAACACTTATCATAAAGTAAATAGAAATTGGACCAATAATAACAAAATAACAGCTCAAAATGATTAAGAAAATGGTTTTTGAAAGTAATTTTGAACTGCCAATTTGTTTTTAATGGTCCGATTTCTATTTTCTTTACGTTAAATGTTATGTTTCGTCAAGGCCTGTAAAATGATACCAAACTCGACTATAGTTGCTATTTGAAAATTTTTAGCTAAATTTTTACCCCTGCTATCCCTATGAGCAAAATGTTCAAACCTGACCATAATTATTGTAGCCTTTCATATCCAAACAAGTTGCCGCAAACCGAATTCAAATATCTCAAATAGTTAAAAAGTTAAGGGGGGTGCAAGTTACTTTTCAGCCACCCTGTATACTAAAACACGTCAGTGTACAAAACTATTTTCTAGAGGGTGAAACAAGGGTTACCCTTTTTCACCTAAACATTAGGTCGTAATTACTCAAGCTATCGTGCTATCAAGCTATTGGACACAAACACATAAAAAAGAGCGGATTGTGTTTTTGGTCTTTGGGGTTATCAAAAGACAAAAGTAGTTCGGTCCCGAGTTTAGGTCTTACCATGAGACCTATGGTAAAACGTATTTCCTTTATGGGAAATTTTATATTCCGTCTTTGGGAAATTTTCTATTAAGCATCATAGTACATCAACTGAGGGATAGTCAATTTTACAGAAGATTATTATACGTTGGCATAACTTACTAGCAAAAACAGTTTGGTTTATATCGTTGTTGTAAATGCATAAAACTACAAAAAAAATGATGCCTCAAACCAGATGGATAAAGATATCTTGCTTGTCATAGGATACCCAATACAAAGCATCCCATCGACCATTCTTGCAATTAAATTAAGTCAGTTTGTTGCTCAAACGTCTAATTAGACAAACCTAAACATTTCCAACAAGATCGGTGACAGTCTCAGTCCTGTTTAAGGTTTAAAGACAGAAAGAAATATTATTTAACTAGTTCAAGTGCAATCGTATTAATACCGTATTCAAATTAAGTTCAAAGCAATAAAAAATCTGAGCACACATGAAAAAGTGTGTAAACTATGGTAATTTATTCTATAAAATTATATTATTAATACTGTATACCTGTCAAAGAGCAGTATTGATTTAGATTTGATTTTAGCGTGCATTTTATACCCTTAATTACCTACTCATAATTCTTAAATTGCGTTTAAACACCCATAAATCGCATTAGACTGCTCTTGTATGTGGCTAACGTATTTTTACAGTACAAATATTTCGCAAAAATTGTTACGTTTTCAAATTACCATTATAGAATGAGTACTATTATTAAGTACTGATGGTACCCGTACCGAGAAACGATAAATTATTAGGAACCGGTATCGGTACCAACAGCGAAAATTTGGTACTGGCACATCACTACTCATCGACAACATATCATATGTTTAGAAAGAGTAAAACCAAATACAAAGCAATTCAAAGAATTCCTGAAAGCCAAAGAAAACAGCTGTTTATTATTGGGTAGTCAAATGAGACTAAAATTAAGAAAGTAAAGAAATTATGTATTTTCCAAAGCAATCTTTGTTGGTGTGGTAATAAACTTTAAGGTACCATAAATTAAGGATTAACCTTTAACTGGTGTATGATGCAAAATACATTTGTAGGTTTGTATAATATTTCTACTAGAAGGACTATTTCTCATAGATAAGCTAGGATTGAAGTGTGGATAAACTTTTTAAGCGCCTGTTTTGGATAAAAATTAATAAAACATCTAAATATTTACTTGGTAATGCTGTTAAGGTTTGATGTAAGGGAATATGACTGTGTCTTTTTTTACAAATTGCATTATGCAGTGTTACTTCTATATAAAACAACAGTTAGAAATCGTGGGATACAATGAATTATGAGATTCGAAATTATGTCCTAGAATGTGTGCTGCATAAACGTATCATTTTCAACAATATGAAATTCATATAGATTATTATTAACATTCGGTGTAGCATCAAAGTCTATACTGAAAAATGTATATTCCTGAAACACTACAGCTGCTTCGGAGGACATGAATCTAGTGTTTGAAGAAACTGTTTTCACTGTTCAAGCATTCATTAAGGACAAGATGTAAAATAGATTTAGTTTGTTTGATAACTACACTAAAAATTGTGGATTCGGTATATGAAGAACCCTTTTCATATTAAAAACATATTTATTTTATGAACGACAATACTTATCCTATTTTAACAAATAATCCTACTATTGCTTCAGTTTATACTTTAACAATCTGCACTCTATGTGATTTCTATGTGTAAACGTACTATTTAAAAAAAGTGAATATAAAGGTCATTAGTAGTTGCTACAGTTGTAATACAAAAGTGAAACCTTTCTCAAACAGTGCCAAGAGTGAAAAAGCAAAACTGAGTAAAATTTTATTTCAACAATTACTTCATTCAACCTACTTCAAATACTAGCACTATTTTCTCCTGCTAGATGTGCCCTATATTACATACTTGACGACTTTTATGAATACACTCAACATTATTAAGTTGGTTGATAATGTGTTGGATGGTAAAAAACACTCCGGAATAACGTACTGTATGGATTTTTTTGGACATTTTTAAATACACGCTTATGGATCGAAGTCTATTTAAAGTTGTCAAAATATAATTTTTGATTACGTATGTTTGGATATAATTCAAATAGAGAGTAAAATAGCTTTGAATTGGAATAAATTTTTTTTTTAAAGCAACTGTAAATTCCTATGATCTGCAGGTGTGAATGCGACGGGGGATTTAATTTTGTCCGATTTGTTTTCTACTTTATGAGCATACGACCAATAAAACACTTAGGTAATTCTAAAGAGTCATGTGTCTAGAATTTTACTGCATATGTCAATATTTTTATGAAAAATACTTCCTCTACCTATGAAACATTAATGACAATTATTTTTATTTTTTTTTAGTTAAAACCAATACATTCTTACACAGGTTGTTTCATTCGTTGGTTGTCTTGTCTTTTTTCATGTACAACGAAATGGATTGGAGTTTTAATCATTTTGTGAAGACTTTTAACAATTGAATGTTTATGCAGCGATTCTGGTGATTTTCCAGTCTTCCTTCCCTGCCTTCTCGTAGAGCAGTCGGTCGCCAATGGTCAGACCCAGGGCTTCGTAGAACTCCACTCCTTCTGGGACAAGCTTGTACGCCACCCTGCAATTGTGAAACATGTTTTAGATATCAGAAGTTATACCGTAATAGTTAACTTGGGAAACGACGAGAATTTACATAACTACTTTACATGTTGTAGATACATACAGGGGAAAGTGATTAGATGAACGTTTTACATACATACATATTTAGCTACTTAGTTTATATATTTGTAGAGCAAAAGATTTTAAAATAATGTGTTAAATAACTTCTTGATCAGCATTGTACGCGTTATTAAATTTACGGAAAGTAAATAAAGATACGTCTTATAACACTTAAAACATATTTTAACGCTTATACTGTTATTCACAAGACGGTAAATATACAAAGGATGGTAAGTGGTGACATTCGCCTATTGGGTCTGATGATGATTGGAGTGTCCAATCGAAACCGATCACCACTTACCGTATATTTACCGTCTTGTGAGTAACAGTATAAGCGTAAATATATGTTTAAAGTGTTATAAGACGTATCTTTATTTACTTTCCGTAATGATGTGTTGTCCTAATAACATGTAAAATGTCAATCTGAAATAAACGTTGAAACCAATTTCACGTGTTTAATCAAATCAAATCAAATTATCCTTTATTCATTTAAGTACAATTGTACAGGAATAGAGTCAGATCTTACAAAATAAAATGTTTTTCATTGAACTAAACATAAGACAGAATATTTATTTTATTTGTTCTCCCAAAACTCTTCAAGAGAATAAGGGGCAATTTTAAACAAATACTGTTTCAGACAATTTTTAAACTTGGCTACATGGCTTTTATACTGATTGCGTGTTTGTGTCAATCAGTATAAATTTCACTAAACACATAAAAATTCATTTAAAGCCAAAGCACTGTATTTTACGTCAGTAATACATATAACTTACATATCTACCATAAATCCTAAAGGTAAATTATTGGCTACCATGGTTTCAAAACATTCTTGTCAGCGAGACAGATATATCAAAATATACAGGATTAAAAGCAAAAGTATGGGGTACCACCGCTTAACTTTTCAATGGGTTGCACAAAAAAACGTATTGAAAGGTTAAAAGGAGGTATCCATAATGAACCTTGTGTCTTCAGTTCCATCTTTGATCGACTTGTCTCAAATTTCAGTGAGAACTAGCGTATTTTGTTTTTTAAATTAAACTCAGTGTTACAACACATATGTACCCTCTAGTCGTATGACCGACAGCCAATTAGCTATCTTAAGAATTTTGGTCGTTAAAGTACTATTTATTGTAACTCATTATCCGAGTAAATCGTTTCAAATTATGAACGATGGTTTATTAATGTCAATGTTAGTGTTTATCGTTTATTTGTATAGCCTGTATCCAGTAAAGGTTACACGTAGTATCATAGAGGTAAGGTAAAATAGAGGTTTAATCGATAAAATACAGCTTCATCAATCATCCTTTCACGGTCCTCCGATTGTCGTCTCTTTTTATGATGTCACCAACTCAGATAACGAAGAGTTGGCGGTTACAGCTACAAGTTATGGCTTCTTGTAATTCAATCCGTGAAAATAGCAGAAATTATTTTGTTTAAAAGTAGAGGTCTATTGCGGGAATGTTTGGTCACCGATTATAAAAAAAAGTTTCACTACAAAAAGTTTAGTAAGCGGCAGGCAAGTTTGCATTTGCCTTCAATATTTGTTATCACCATTTGAGATTCCCGGCGCTATCCCATTTGTGTATACTTCTTGCCATGCTTATGGGTCAATCCAGCTGTGGTTAAGAGTCCTTTCGATGCTCGAATGCAGGATATCTATTAAACGTCCGAGAGATTTGGTATATTATTGGTCACGTAACACGAAAGAAAAGGTTTTATTTAGAGCATATACTAAAATTGGTTTCAACCTACATATCCACCATTTTCTTCGTTCAACCGTATGGTTCCTATTCAGCCTATTGTTACAGAGTTTGCAGAAAATTAAATGCGTGATAGTCAACCAAATTTACAAACGAATAAAATAATCGTCAAACAATTAGTACATAATTGTTTGACGATTATTTTATTCGTTTGTAAATTTGGTCAAACAATTATGTACTATAAATAAGCGATCATAAACATATTTATGATTGCGATGACCAACTTTACCAATGTTACTTGGTAAAGCAAAATTGAGGAAGAACTATTATTCCGATATTGTAAGATCATTTTATTCTTATATTATCGCTTAAGAGTCAATCTAAACCAAAACACTGTTGGCCCCAATTGTGTTTCTTATATATTTTTGTTGTTGTTTCATATGCCTTTCAATTGAATAAATTGTAGTTTGTACACGTAAAAAACAGCATACACTCGTTAGCTATAAACAATTCTCCGATTTTTATTACATTTGGACCAAATAATATTTCTTATGAACCATATGAAACTAACCAGCCAGATCCAACGATAGAAAGGGGTTATAACACTACAAATCCCGAGGGGATGTTTTAATATCCCATTTTTTTCTCGCAAAGAATATACAGGGTGACAATTAAGTTTTAGGACGATTTTATAACTTTAAAACGAAAAGAGATATCAAAACCAAATTTGGCACATCATTATTGGTATAAGCTACTTTTATGTGTACATGGTAATCGAATGTCACGTATATTTGATATGTGCATCAAATTAAAAGTCTTCTTGAAATAAAAACAATGCCGCAAACCAGACCTCAAATAGACAAAAAATAGAGTCAAAAAATGGCAGCCGTTCAAAGATTTCTTGGCTCTGCCATTTTGAACCTTTAAACGGCTGTCATTTTTTACTCAGTTGTTCTTTTGAGCACAAATTTGCGGCATTGTATTCTACACCAAAGACTAGCCACACTAGGCTATTTTGACGGACTTCCCACGCAAGGATTTAGTCCAGAAAACAGCTGTTTGCCGCCAGCTTAATCAAATGGGGTTTCATTGCGTACTACTGTACTGTAATGAGTTTTACCGGACACCAGAAACAGTTGATTATACTATATTTGGCAATGAGTGGTTATAAACAAAAATATAATCTCTCTTGGAGGCTATGACTAGTAATTGTTAGTCCTTTAGTCGGTGGTAATATATAAGGATTTGTACGGATTTAGTAGTATGACGTAAACTATCGTACGTAGCTCGTCCAAAATGTGTGTACCGGACTCGTATGGTAATCACGAAAGGTCCCGGCCACGTAAAGAGAGAAAATGTCCAGGTAGACCCGGTCAGGCCTAATCCGCTGTTGTCAAAACATAGCTATTGTTGTGAAACCGAGGGGGCACGCTACCCCATCCCAGCGGTCATTGCTACTGCCTCCCTTTAATTCTTAGAAATAACTCGGGCCAGTACAAATTCTATAAATCGAACGGGTAATCGCCTATAATTAAGTGACAGGTCATTTTATTCACAAAGTGAAGACGAATATCACAAAATTTGAATCGCAATTCTACGTCGCTTCGTTAATTGGCTAGTCGATTTATAGAATTTGTACTGGCCCGAGTTATTTCTAAGAATTAAAGGGAGGCAGTAGCAATGACCGCTGGGATGGGGTAGCGTGCCCCCTCGGTTTCACAACAATACAATAGCTATGTTTTGACAACAGTGGATTAGGCCTGACCGGGTCTAACTGGACATTTTCTCTCTTTACGTGGCCGGGACTTGTACTCGACTTCGTCTCGCACGGGAACACCACACTCGTCCGGTAAACACTTATTTTCAGGACTAGTAACGTAATATACTATTAATTTAATATGCATATTGACCTGTGCTTACGTTTATGATTTTCTTCCGTTTTCTTGCGGGCGCCCCCTGAGGAGGTAGCGTATAATTACATTGCAAATTCAATGAATCTTTGATAGCTGCCATTTTTGGCTCGATTGTCCATTTGAGGTCCGGTTTGCGGCATGGTTTTTAGTTTAACAGGCCTTTAATTTTATGTACATATCAACCCAAGCTTACCTTTAATGTTTTCAACTTACTCCCAGAAATCTCCCATAGGTGACATCCGATCACAATGTACACAAAAAAGTAGCTTCCTACTACCAGTAATGATATGCCAAATTTGTTTGACATATCTCTTTTTGTTTTAAAGTAATCGTCCTAAGACTTAATTGTTCCCCTGTATATTGTCTACAATAGATATCATGTATATGTCTGATCAATCTTACCTGTAATCAAACGACAAATCAACTGGAAATTCGTTTCGTTTCAGGTTTTCCGTGAGAGTATTTACAACAAAAGGGCATTGATTGGGTAACCTATTCACTAAATACTATAATGAAACAAAATTGGTTTAGTGGGCCAAAATCCAATAGACGCAGAAGATCAAATATTTTGTTAAAAAAAAAACTAAATGTCTATTTCAAAACTAATGTTAATTTAGTATACACCGCAACGATTACTTTTTTTTCTTTTGCGCATAATAGATCCCAAGTCCTGAAGTCCTAAACATTTGTTGAGCACGCTTTTTATCCTTATTAGATGGGTATTATAACCAGACATTTTTACTACATAAACATACACATGGTCAGGTCTGGCTAGGTCGTGAACTCCTCTTTCCCACTCGGCGAGTACTTTGTCGTGGTTGTCCTTGTGCTTATGCCAGTCCACGGGTTGCCCCTGGTGACAGATGTGAGCCCTGATCTTGCAGAATAAGGGTTCCACCTGGTACAACTCCTCCATGTCCTCGGGCACCAGTTGATGGACCGGCCCCTCGGCGCGAACCTGCCGTAGGAGAAGGTAAGATGTAACATGTGCGATAAAGATTCTCTATCAGTTGTGAATTGGGATTAAGAGTACAAGAAAATGAATAAAGAGGAGGTAGTATATGGCTACGAAGGACATGGTGATGAGGAGATGGTTGGGGAGGAAAAGCGCGTTATATTACAAAAACACATAAAACTATGTTACCAAAGTCAAGGCTGGGAAGAAGAGTTTCTCCGGTAAGAGCATGAAGCTGTTCACGATAACTATCATGCCCTCAACACCTTCCTGGAGTCGCGTACAATAGTTTTTGCCACACTACCAGCAAAGAATACAGTGTGTAAATTAAGTATTGAAACAAATCTGTATTTTTAAAACCAAAATAGATAGAAATATTCTGTTTGTGTAAATAATTGTTAACAAAGGTTCCGAAATTTTTCACATAAAAATATTTTTTCACCCCCCTAACAGGGTAGGTGGTAGGGGGTGACTTATTTTTTTCAAATAGCAACCCCTATTGAGTGACCCCTCATTTTGAAGGGTTTGTCAAAAGAAACACAATGACGCAAATCCGAGGTGAATATCTCACTCCAAGCTAAAATGGCGGATATTCCAAAATGGGTGCTTTTTTACAAAAATTAAATTTTTAACCACCCGCCATTTAGGCTTGGGGTGAAATATCTACCTCGGGTTTGCGTCATTCTTTTTCTTTTAACAAACCCTTCAAAATGAGGGGTCACTCATTAGGGGTTGTTGTTGAAAAAAATAAGTCACCCCCACCCCCTACCCTGTTAAAGGGGTTGAAAAAATATTGTTAATTAAAAAAATTAAGGAACCTATGTCAACAATCAATTCCACAAACAGAATATTTCTATCTATTTCTGTTTTAAAAATACAGATTTCTTTCCATTATTTGTGAAATTGGTGCTTTTCACGTAGAGTAAATCAAATTTTGGAATATCCGCCATTTGGGCTAGGAGAGAGATATTCACCTCGGATTTGCATCATTGTGTTTCTTTTGACAAACCCTTCAAAATGAGGGGTCACTCAATAGGGGTTGCTATTTGAAAAAAATAAGTCACCCCCTACCACCTACCCTGTTAGGGGGGTGAAAAAATATTTTTGATGTGAAAAATTTCGGAACCTTTGTTAACAATTATTTACACAAACAGAATATTTCTATCTATTTTGGTTTTAAAAATACAGATTTGTTTCAATACTTAATTTACACACTGTATACAGAGTAAGTAAGTCACAACCCCACTACATTGATCCATCATTCATCATCATTGATCATTGACTATACACAGAATAGACTTCCAAAGTAATGTACACATTTGAAGAGAAAAAAGTGGTGCAATCTGTTGATATGGTCTACCAACTATTGATAATATTCTGTGTTAAGTGATAAAATAAATCAGCTGTTTGCTATGATACTGCGTTAATTTAAATAAATATTAAACCGAATAAGCTAATACCCTATGGTGAGATGGTCCTGAACTTCATCTATTTTCTTGGCTTCAAATTTTTACATTACATATGAAGTCTATTCTGTGTATAGTTAATGTTACTATACACTATTCTAACACAACATTTAACAGAGTGTTCACCTTATTTTAAATGTAACGTTTCTAAACCTGTTTAATATTTACTGTGAAAATGCAAATTGCCAAACGTTATTATCGTCTTACGTCAAGAGGACCCAAGAGGATCGCTATTTGTTATTGTTTTGACCTAGCCTAATACTTAAATGTTGAATGTCCTAATAACATTTTGATTTAATTTTGATTTTGATTTTTATCTAGCTGATTTTGCCGATGCATTTTTGAAAACAACGACCTTCTGGTCAGCAAAAGAGGCCGGAAACCAGCTTTTGGCTATGTTGTGTGGCTAAAAATTATAGTCTTTCAAATGCTACGTGTAGCAAAATATTTCAACGTTTATATTAATGATAGAGGGTTTGTAGGCTCAAAATATTATCGAAGGATGCAATAGTTGCATTGTCGCTTAAATTTTCATATCAAGTCCTACTATTTATTTTACCAATTACAATCGTGGAAAAATATGGCTTGTCAAGCACAGGCCACCAATAAACAGACCATCAATTGAGATTTTTCCCCTGAGGAGCGATAACAATAGAGATCAAAAGTTAACTAATCTGTGATTGGAACGAATCAAGTTAATAGGAAATCCTCAGGATCAAAAGAAGGGATTTCCGCACTTAAGTTGAAAACCTAATTTAATTAATCAAACGGCATTTGCCATTGTGTTAGCTTCTTTTAAACGAAATATAAGTTAAACCAGGATGGATTTTCTAATTAATTTTTAATCGATAAATTTAAAAATTGAACTTTACCTTACATGTACTTTTTCAATAACCAGTCATAAGCTAAGATCCCTCATTTTTATAAGGTTTTGATTTTTCCATAATCAAATACATTTTCCTAACAAGAAATGGCTGAGTTTCAAAATGTATCTAAATGCAATAATTCCATATCAAAATGAGAAAATGAGTTACAATAATAACTCAACAAAAAATTCATACACATTAAAATAATGAACCATGTGTTGTGCTCATGGTATTCGGGAACGTTCACGTTTAAGAGTGGAACACCACTTAGATTAATATAAAACTTATACTTCGTATGTAAACAAATTAGTCTTCATTGGGTAGGATGTGGCGTGATGGTAACGTTTTAGAAGGCTACAAATCCTCTAGAAACTGGGAATCGTTGAATTTTACTTTAATTAAATCGTGTTAACAGTGTAAAGGGCCTTCCATACTTCCATAACGAGCTGTTTTTTTTTTAGGCATGAGCTGATAGTTTATGTTGACACAGTCTCGATCATCAGTGTGGAATACCCATAAGACACTAGTAGATTTAGTTAGTACTGAAGATACTATACTAGGTCATGTTCTGTTGTGTAGCTTATAAAGAGAATACGGTTGTTATTAAAATGATTGTCTGGAGCCGGTAACGAAAGCGGTAAATTTGATATGAGTTTGTTTTAAATCAACAACAAACAAGTTTGAGTTTGTTTGTTGTGCAAGAACAATATACTTTAAGGTACTCGATTTACAAGTTAAGTCTGAATCAACCTTTTTCGTTCATAAAATTTCATCAATGAGTTATACTCATTGAGTATAATATCAATGAGTATTTAATATTGTTACACGTTCATCTCAAGAAGAACCTTCAGATGAACTAGGATGGTGAAAAACACTGTCGTAAATGTTAAATTACATACATACTGATGTTTGTACTACGTATATCATACACACCAAACTACTGACATATTAAGTGTAAAATGTTCTGTTTACCTGGCGAGAGAGTAAGGAGCTATCATGCATGCTGAGCCATAGGAATACCATCGACGCGTACGGGTTTTCTTCCTGTAAGAGAAAACAAAATTGTAATCAAATATGAGTTCATACCTTATTTATATTTTCACAATCCACCTAATAATGCCTAAAATATAGACGGTTAAAGGTTTTATTATCTAAAATATACTGGAAGGCTTGCAAAGTGTTTTCAAAGTTATGACTTTGACATCGTTAAACACGTCTCTTAAACTTAAAAACAAAAGGAAAAAACAAAACACAATTATTTCGACATCAATTGGATGGACCCACGACCAGATTTAGTTATGTCATTCTTATTTGTGGCTGGCTATATGCCACAATAATCCATGCTTTCTAAAGTTCAAGTTTTGTTAAAATGCAGATGGAAAGGAGATAAAAAATTTCATAAAGGGAAAATGAAATTAATTATCAGATTTAAGGTTCTTAAAATTGGAAAATGGAATATAAGTATTACATTTTATTTAATAACCATGGTATAGATTACTAAAGGGTGGACCAAAAAAACAGGGACAATTTTAAAACGTTATTACTCAGCTGTTATAAGGGCTGGAGAGTTCATTGATGCGACAAAATAAAGTTTATTTAATGCCATTTAGTGTATAGTTACTATGGATCATCAATGGTTACCGCAACATCGTGCCTTTGTCATAGAGACTTTTTTGAAGAATAATTTGACTTTCATTTCTACTCAACGTCAATTTCGTTTTCACTTCAACATTGGCCGTAATGGTGCAACCCCAAAGCGAAAAACTATTTAAAGTTGGGTAAGTAGTTTCCAGAACACGTCTTCTGCACTCAAAGTCAAACCTAGTGGGATACCTCGGACTGTTCGAACGCCGGAAAACATTAAAATGGTTCGCGCGAGTGTCCTTGCGTCGAGCGTCTAAAGCCAACCGTTTGCAAAACATTGCATTGAAATTTAAATTTGCATAGGTTTAATTTTAAGTACAAAAGCCGTGTTTAGGACGTTGTTTACCCCCTTTGAGTAGTTTATTCGGTTGGGGGTTGCACCATTACGGCCAAAGTTGAAGTGAAGACGAAATTGACGTTGAGTAGAAATGAAAGTCAAATTATTCTTCAAAAAAGTCTCTATGACAAAGGCACGATGTTGCGGTAACCATTGATGATCCATAGTAAGTAACTATACACTAAATGGCATCAAATAAATTTTCTTTTGTCGCATCAATGAATTCTCCAGCCTTTATAACAGCTGAGTAATAACATTTTAAAATTGTCCCTGTTTTTTTGGTCCACCCTATATAATAAATCATTGATTTTTGTTTAAAACTTTTTGTTGCTTTTGACTGTAATTGTAATAACTAGATATTTTGCAGTCAAGAAAATCTCTCACTCACCAAACAAATAACATTCAAAATGTCAGAAATATAGATCAATCAAACAGTCGTGTTCATTGAAAATTATACCAAGGATATTTTTATGGCCAATAACTTTTTTCCAAGTTTTGTACCTCAATCTTTATTTAATTTTTTTATTTAACCTTCCTGGGATTTTTTGTCACCCTTTATAAGCTTGATAAGATGTATATAGAATACCAAACTGCAACAGCCAATGAGGGATTAGTATAAATATCAAAACCTATAATCGTGTTTCCAAAATGAATCAGTGCGGGTCCATTCTGAAGTACTTTTAATTACATTCGTTTACATAGCATTAAGCTACAGCAAAGCGGGGCCGGGTTTTCTAGTAGTTTAAGCTACTGTGTCGTTATCATATTATAGGGCAACTGAACTGCTATACTGAATCTGATAATACACAGCCATGACCTGGGCACACCTCTCAAATAAGTGGGCATATGAAACTTGTGTAGTTATTACATTAAACATATTATAAAAAAACTAATTACTTCGTTATTTAACAAATGCATAAAAAGGGGTGCTCTGTATATATTTATACCCCATTTACTTATCGAATGTATAAATAATCAAATTTACAGAGTAGTCATTATACTTTACTTTACTGTTGTGGCAACTGGTTGTAACTATGCAATTAAAAAATATTGGCAAAATCATCCTACAATTTAAAGTGTTATTAATGTTTGGAAAAACCGATTAAAGTATTTGATCAGGGCCAAACAAAATTTACAATTAGTGTATTATTTTTATTCTGTAATTTCATATGATGTTCCTAAGAAGAACAGTTTAGAGAGCACAGAGAAGAGTTGCAAATAGAGTCAATTAGAGGAGGGTTATTATAAGAGCCAATGGAAAGGAGGCAAGGGCATACGGGATTTGCCTAACATAGTATTTTAAAATGTACAGTATTTTGAAATGATTGGCAAGACTTTGTTTGGAATTCCGTTGAAATGAACCACTTATAGTGATCATAATTTTACTGTGATGAACTAGTCCTCTATATAGCATGGACTATGAGTATCCACTATATTATACGCGTCAAAATTGCGCTTTACATTCCACCAATGAGTCATGTTATTTACATACGTAATTTTCAAAAAGTTGCAGTGAGGGAAAATTGATCTGACCAAACTGAAGATTAACACTGTACTCTTTGAGAACGTAGCCACTATAGATTTACTAATAGAACTATATACGTTGAGAAAAATTTTAATCTGGAATTAGTTAATTTTAAGATGATGAGTCCCTGATCTGCAATCTGCAAATCAGATATACACTCTGAGTCCCTTAAAAATCTAGTCCATAATCTGCCTAGTTACATATGCGCAAAAACTTTTGAAATTATTTATACTTTATGTGAACGAACAACATTTTTATTGAAGTCCACGTTTTACTGGGGTATTTTAGAAGATGGCTGTGAAATTAAATTTAAAGTTTGGTCTAACCTATATTGAGATGCCAAATCTTAGAACTATAAGGAAACAAAATTCAACTAACGTTATTTTGACTAAATTCTACTTTATATCTTACGAAGGAAACTGTTTTACCAGATCTTTGCACTTTTTGCTGCGTTTGTCAGTCATTATAACGAACCCGTCATCGTCCAATCGTCGAAGGATGAGAGTGCGGGAGCTCAACTTCCCAGCTCTGAAAACAAAATGTGTCAATTACAATTATTTAGAACGATCAAAAATTATTGACAAGTCAATTGGCAAACATGGTGAATCGTGCCCACAAAAACGCTTCCGGGCTTCAACTCTTATATTTAAGTAAAAGTTTGTACAATACACAATACTACACAGTTTTTCTTATTGCTGTGGATGTAATATTTAAAGTAATTTGTTTCTATAATTGTAACTTAATAAGAAACAACAAAAAATAGATCATAGTATTAATCGTACTTGCATGAATATGATACATAATTTTATTTTAGATTCGAATATACAGTTTTGTGAGGAAAGTCATTAATCAAGGCTTTCTTTTATTTATAAATTTATTGAATAGCAATTTCAAGCATACTAAGCAAACGAGGGTTCATGACACCAGCCGCGAACATTTCAAAATTCCAAATGAATGAATATGAATGTTCCTTGGATAGTAAATAAATAGTAGACAGCTTACTTGTTGGATGTGGAAAAAGTGAGAGCATTTGAAACAACTTTGTTAGGATGCTGGTGTTCTCTGTACCATTCCTTAAACAGGCCAAAAGGAGTAGCATAATCCGACTTGAGATGATGAAGTCCTGTAGGCTCCTTGGTTTCTGGTACTGTCGTCTGAAAAAAGATACTATTTCGAATTTTCTTTATAAAATACCAACACCCAGGAACAATTTTAGACATACATACTTATTGTTAACATTTATTCAGGATTGGTTTGGTAACATTTTTTATTTTTCAATAGAGCTATAGACTGACTAACGAAAGAAAAGGATTTGGCAAGGCCTTTGTCAATGAAAAACGTCATAGCCAGTCTAGTTTACATATATTTGTTTATTAACATTGTTTGTAACAGCCCTTGGATTGTTATATTCACCAATAAGGACATGTATAGCTGGAGCTTATTTTAGTTTTATTTTTTATGTACTACCATGTTTGTATTTATTTAAGAGTATCAACTTGTTTGAGCATCTCCCAAATTTTTACCACTTTCATAACCATTTTAAACTAAATTCCTTTCAACCCGATGTTTTAAATATTTTTCCAAGAGCTACAAACCTGTTAGTTACACTTTACATATATTTTGTCATATTTACACACTATAATTGTATCGTAAATATTAAACTGATCCATTAAAAATACACGAGGTCCTGGCTATGTAGGTTTTTCTCGGATATATTTTACAAAATTACATACTGTTGTCATAACATTTCACATTTCGATATTTAAAGAAAAAGTAAAAATTATATTAGGAGCTAAAGAAATCTTTCTAAAAAGTATGAGATAGCAGGCAATTTATATGTAGATGCAAAAGGGAACAAAGGCCGGCTCTGAGGTGAAATGCTCCAGCAGGGGGGGCGTCCAGCGCCCGCACTCTCTGATAGGCTATGTGGTGGTAGTCACCTAGAACCATCGGTCCCCCGGCTAGACCACTGCAGCCCGGCTGTATATATACCGCTGCTGGAAGACACAACTTACCTGCGAGAACCAAACTGTTTACGCATCCATAACTACTAGGTACTTACAATTTTTTTGTTAGAAATCGTTCTGTAGGATTCAGTTATAGTTTATCTACCTGAGATAAACTCGATTTAATTAAAATATGTATTTAAATTACATTTCTATAAAAAAAGCTTAATAAATTAACTATAAATAGGTTAAACTATCGATATAGGCTCCCAAAGTGTAAAGGAAATACAACTCGTTCAAAATATATTTTTCAAATACAGTACTATTATTTATAATCACTTTTAACAGAATATTTAAGACAATACTTGGATTATAAGGAAAAATTTCTGAAATACATTATCTTGTTTATGTAAATTTACCATTAGGTTCTAAACAATAATGATTTAAAGTTGATAATTTAGTAATAATTGCATTTTAAACGACTTTTTGGTAAAGCTACCGTTCCCAGCGCCCCTGTTGGCGATCCGAACAACTACCAACACCCCCATACGTCGGGAGAACCATTGTATCTTCCCCTGTAGGTGGAATGATTATTTTGCTTATGTGGCCTTGAATTTTTAATTGTCTGTCAAACATAATTAAACAATACTATTGCCCAATATAAACCACTAGTCAACAAGAAAACCTTTAACATCCAATGATTTTAGGTTAACTACAGTTCTATTTTTATTACTTATGTCAGTATAGAAGAAGTGTTTAACCCTCCGTAAACACTAGTTTTGCATTTTCAAATCACTTTCCAAAAATAAATTGTTTTTTTTTTTTTTTTTAGTTTACAGTGAAAGTACTACAATTATTGAATTTAGGATCAACATTAAACCTATAGACAAACATATTCATATTTCAAACTAAAAATATCGTTAATGTGGATGGTAAAACACACCATGATAACATTTTTTTGTATTCAATACAAATATGATTTCTGGCACAAAATGATACAGAGATTTTAAATAATCATACTTATAAATTTACACATCAATTTAAAAATTTTTTAGAGAGTAAAACATATATGTTATAAGACTAAACGAAATCACGTACGTTACCTGTGGAATTGCGCTGGTGGACTGGAGTCGTGTGGATAAGAATACCACAGCCCGGTAAACCCTTGATTCCAACTGAAATATAAAAACACTTTATTTGAAAAGAGCTTAAACAAACTGAGTTTAATTGCAAAATAAATATTCAGCCAATCCAATAATGCTTTAAGATTAAGAGCATTTTCACAGGAATAACATAATTGTCTTATGTATCAGTATTGTTAACAACTTACTGTAATATAGTTTTGTTCGTAGGCCTAGTCAAGACGGCTTTTAGAGGGAGTTAAAACGCATGGGGACAGCCGGGGGTAGCGACATGTGGATAGTTTATTATACAAAATAATATTATACAGTTTCTCTAATCTTGTATTCCTCGGGTATTTTACGATTACAATATTCTAAAACACCTACGGCTTAGCTGTGTTTATTTTTTTTTACTCGTTGGGTAAAATAATATTTTAAGAAAGGGGTAAAAAAACTCTGTACAAAGTGACATAATACTTGAATTCACTTAATAATTATTTTAATAATTAATATTTCGCTAGAAACAAAAGTGGTTTTTAATGCGAGTGCGAGTTTAGTGGCGGACTATAAGTCAGAAAATGAGTGATAATCGAAAAACCGTATTTGGGGGATGAAATGAGGCTTACTACATTGATAGCTTAGCTTAACGCCTGACCTATTCCACGATTTGTGACAGTTTTTACTTTAAAATATTGATTTTCTACAGGTAATTAATCAAACAATGTAACATGTGTAACCGATTCCAACAGCGTTTCTGAAAAGCTTACCACAATGGGAGCTGATCATGATAACGATCTTTTTCTAAGATTACGTGGATAATATATCTTATCTATCTAAGAACCCAGGTTATGCCTATCTACCTAGGTTAATCTACATAGGTTATTTGCGCGGGTTCTTGCTTAGATGGATTAGATAGATTTGATCGATTGATTCTCCTCAGTAAGCTGTATAAGAGGGACTCTTCCTATTCCTGCAACAAACTGTTGTCCTGATCTTTAAAGTAGGTGACAAATATAACACTATCTTTTGATCTGGATGTAAACTTATCTTTCAAAGTAAATAAAAGAAACGTCTTATAACACTTAAAACATATATTAACTGCTTATTATAAGACGTTTCTTTTATTTACTTTCCGTAAATTTAATAACACGTACAATTGAGATCAAGAAGTTATATACTTTTACCATCTTAACCATCTTACTTTTACCACAGGTAGACAATATTAAACTTGGCTACACTAAAACATTTGACAGGATGAACCTACAGTTCTAGACTATAACCAGTTTTAATGGATACGAGATTTCTTTTTCGTTTCCATCAACGCTACGTCAGCGTTTTATTGTCAACTTTGGTATAACTACTTACATTCTCTCTGCAATTTCCTAGTTGTATCAAGCCCACTTGACCCAATGCTGTTCAACCTGATCGCGGAATATACTAAGTTGTTTGCTGATGTAAATATACTCGTTTAGATCAAGTCACTTGAAGACTGTAGAGTCCTTGAATGGCGTTCCGGCTCGGTGAAAAACTAACTCAATTGATGTAAATGCTTCTAAGTGCAGTGTCATTGCATCTAAGAGGCATTTGCTTGATTGACTTGTCTATTTTATTAAGATATTGTGGTGATTACCTTTAGAAGAGTCATCAACGTTAAGTGTCTTGGAGCCATAATGCAAGTTCTCCTTGACCCTCTAGCACACATAATAAACCTCATAAAAACCTCAAGACCGGCTCACTATTTGTAGAATTGGCAGAGAAAAGTTGTTGCTGTAAACTCTTGGTTAATAGGCGTACTCTTTCAAAATCTACTTATGTAGACATTTACTAAAAACTGATCTGGATGCCACAAACTTGGATGTTTTAATCATTTTGAATTGGTACAAGTCCATTCTGTGAAGAGAGCTGAACAATCTAACTTTGGAACTCTTATAACACAAGTATATGGTTTTGGACTCAGAAGAAGGCGAAACTTAAGAAAGGTGAAAGATTCCTGTTAATTATTTGTCAACGGTTATCTTTACTAACATTAAGTATCCATTAATGTTTTCTTGATATGCAAGTGCTCGTTTATGGAAGATACATGTTTAGACTGACCAAAGACTATAATCGCTACAAACTCTTGGCAATTCATTCACAGCTTTGTATGTGAATTGTTATCAGGTATTAATCTGCTGTACGTTATACTTACTTATATGACCGGTTTGACAGGTTCAAAGTCCAAAATAAGGCTGAACACTGATAACATAAGTTACAGTTTTTTTTTCTCTTATCTCTCTAAAAAAAGGACCAATTCCTGTTTTGGGGTTTGAGATTAACAGACATCTTGACTGATCAACCTTTCATATTTAAAAATTTTCATTGAAACAAAAACTCCACTCCGTCTTCCAAAGATGCTTCAGACCGACAAGCTTATGCTTTCAACATCGGAATCTCAGATCCTATCAAGGTTGGCATCGAGGTGGCTTTCATGATCAGGGGTTTTTACGCCTCCCCAAATTCTTTCAAGCGTATTTTATTACAGGGTAAATAAAATCTAGCCGTGTTTTAAAAGGACCACGTCTAGTAGCCTACATTACTTATGGAAACATGTTTATTAGTCAAGTCGTTTAAATGTTTTTGTTATTATTCTTGCATGAATGCGTCACCTTTAGGTAGATGACCTGTCAAGAGATTATTCACAAGATGTGGATCGACGCCAGTAGACCCCTAGTAATGTAATATCCGAAACCCTTCAGCTATGTTTCAGCACTATCTCTTGCCACATCCAGAGCATATCATCATTGCATCGGTATTGGAGCAGTTTGCTTATTTATGAACATGTTTAGATAAAATCTGCCAAATTGGTATTTTTTTCGTAAGCTATTATATATAAATATATTAATGAATTATATAATAGTGCATATTTGACTTAGTGATACTTATATTATAGTCTGTGTTTGTTCCTATGGATGTGTACAGAGCTACAGACTAAACCTGTGGTCCGAATTTTATTACAATTAATATGTGGCTACTAATCCATGGTATCTCTAGGTGATTTTTTCATTTTTTTTTAAATTTGATTTATGATGGTTATTTCCCCTTAATACCCCATAGATAATGGTAAAATTGGACGATTAAAAGGAAGGCTGGATCAATTTTTGTTAACATTTAATACTATATACTCCTTTTAACTTTAAACAAAGTAAGCACCCCGTTGCTGTAAAAATATGGTTAAAATAGTATTGCAACTTTTGTGATTTCCCCCAAAAATATCATACTACCATATGTTACTATGTAAAATATGTTACTACCAGCGCATATGATAAGGGTTGTTGAGAAACTATGGGAGAAAATATGTGTCAGATTACTCATACCGAATTTATCTAATATTTGATCAAATGCATATATTTTTATCAGGAAAATGTTTTTCAGCTAGCACTTGCGATTGAGTCTTAAATATTTAATAAGTGACAGAAACAAAAATTGGCGCCAACTTAAGATTGAGCTGCTATTTGTCATCGGGTCATTAATTAATTATGTCATCTAACGAAAGGTTGACGTTTGATAGCAACAAAATAAAGGGGTTGGAGCGTTCCCAAGGAATCGTAAAAAATCTCTGGCGTTGAAACGAAAAAACTGGATAATTCAGCAATCATAAAGGGGATAGTCCAACTCCACGTGGTGGTCATATTTTGGATGAGGAACAGTTTAATGATATCCGAAGGGTCCAGTCCAACTCCGCGCGGTGGTCACTTTTAGTGGATAGTCAAACTACCAAAAGTAATGTTACACTTTTATTTGTTCATAGCTACTTTATTCATATGACAGGTTAGGTTAGGTTAAGCATTGTGTATTAACTTAGACTTTGGAACATATAAACCGCGCGGTGTTGGACAAGTGCCGCGAGGGGCTCGAAGTGACCACCGCGCGGAGTTGGGATAAGTCCATCGCAATCATACTCTCTTAGCCTAATGTTACCGGTTCATTCCTGAGAAGTGTCTAGTCTGGGTTCCATTGTCATTTTCTAAGACAATCAATTACGACTTGGGCTTAGACCGACCCTTACAAAAAACTTCAACATTCCGCAAAAGGTTATATAAAACATTCAAAACGTCGGGGGACCTACCTCACGCCCACCAAACCAGTCCACAACTGGTGGTGTTTGTTTATGTCAAAAAGAGATTCACTCCGGTTTTGTTGGAGCTAGGCTACTCCGGTTCATTAGGCTTAGCATGCCTTTGTTACATAACACCTCGTGCCACAGGGGGGAATGACGCGGTTAAATTTAATTAATAACTGTTTATACAGAATAATATGGTGGAACGTGTCTTTTGTGGTTCTTGATCTGTGGGAAATATTTAGGTTTAATACTACGAGGGTCTTTAAAAATTGTTATGTTACATGATTTCAAATTTGCACAATGAAGTACAGGATGTGGTTTAATATGAATGTGCAGTGTTTACCACCGATGATTATATGTAACATAAAACTGTATGATGGAAGTATGACCTCCTGATTGATCATTTACGGATGGCAAATAGTCATGTTCTATTGGTGGACATATATTGTTTATTTGTATCTTCTACTGAAGATCGTCTACTAAAACACGCTTATACAAAATCTGCTCATCATTAGAGGAGTGAGCTGGGTTAGTGGTAGAGCACAGGACTTTTGTCCTCGATATCCCGGGTTAAAATCCCTTCAATCAACAATGAATTTTATCCAAGTGATAATGCCACGACTCTCTCTATGCCTAGCCTGAACACATGGAAAACAGTTTCAGGCAACCTAGAGGAATAAATACAAAATTTAACAAAGTCTAAACAAAAAGTTATAACCAATATTGCTGTAAACATTACGCTTCACAAGGTTATTTCAGCTCTTGTGATTTCCCCATAAAATATCATAGTTACTCCCACCGATTACCTATGATAAGGGTAGTTAATATGCTAAAGGGAGAAGGTATGTTTCAAATTGCTGTAACCATCTATTTTCGTTTTTTTTTTCAAATTATAATTTTTTTTAAAAGTATTGTTTTCTGTAGATGACTATAATCATTTTTAGATAACATTCTG